CTGTGCCCTCATTTACAGTTTTTCAAATAGTCTTAAGTAAAATCCTTAAAATATCAGAACATGTATATTTAAGATATGTAGGTACATGGTAATATTATGTACTGTACTACAGTTCTTGATAATTTTCAAATTAAATCTCGAGAAAAAAATAAAATAAATTTGTCTCATGTATTTTTGGTTAAATATCTCAAACATAACTTAAAAACACTTCAAGAGCAAGAAATCAATTTGAGTAATCGAGACTTGACTGTAATAAATGTATTTTTTTATTTTTAATATTTTGAAAATATGTGTGCCAATGTATTTTTATATTTTTTAACTGCTATGGAAACAATATATCGGGAGCCTTGTATTCAATTTTGACGCTTTTTTACCTAACAAATACAATTGTATAGACAATTATAGAAAAAAACTAAAAAAATTTAAAATTTAAAATGTCCACAAACAGCTCGAAACAAGTCAAATAGTGGAAATTGACTAAAGTATGTTCACTAAACGTAAAAAATAATTGTGGAAGAGTTACTCCCTTAGCAATGGATTTCCGGTGGAATATGTCATGAAACAAAGGAGACATTTTCAGTAAAAGTTCCTGAATTGGTCTTCTGCTACTTTGATGCCCAAAATACATCAAAACATAGAGAAAGGGCTGACAATTGACTCTGATTGCTGGTGAGCATATAACGCAATACAAGATAATGGCTACCAGCATTTCACAGTGAATCATTCTTATAATTTTGTAGATCCAAGTACACATGCTCACACACAAAATATAGACTCTTTGGGGATCGGTGAAATGGAGAAACAAACATCATAAAGGTGTACCAAGACACCATTTAAAATCCTACTTGGCGGAATTTATGTTTAGGAATACTTATAATGAAGACCAGTTCAACGTGTCCATACATTGTATTGCATAACATTTGCCACCACAAATCAATTACTAAACTGTTAAAACTGATTAAATTGACATGATAATTAATAATGTAGTTATCTATTTTTAAAATTTTACTCATATTTTTTATTTTGTATTATAAATTTACAGTCATAACTAAAAACATGAAGTTACCAATTTTATACGAATTACTCTTACTTTTTTATAAATTAGTATTGTGTTATGAACCATTATATTATAATAAATACATTGTAAGCTGATAATGATAATGGGTAGTTTTGAATTATTATGAATGTATTATAAAGACATGCTTTGAGCATGAGTTCAACACCAAGGTAGTGGCGATAACCCATAAGTACCTATTTTTTAATTCAAATAGTATTTGACCTACTGACTAATATTTATTTAACAATTAAAATACTAAATGTTATTTAGTAGGTGTGTACATTAATTTACCATCAGAAAAATGATGAATAAATTATATTGAAATAAAACAAAAATTAAAGTTCTTAATTCATTGATTTGTTAAGGGTACTCATATTTCTTTAAAGTTACATTTATATGTATATAAAATAATTTCGATGACTAGTTTTACAACTTCTATTACATATTGGCTTAACAAGTATAAATAAGTATCTAGCACCTAATGTATTTGAGTCAATAATATCAACAAAGATTAAATAAATAATGTGTATTTTTGGATGTGTCTGTTTTCAATTCAACTAAATTTCAAAAACCAAAAAGAAAAAAACGAATATAATTCTGGTGCTTAAAGTTAACGTACCTGGATAGCAACAATCTTAATGTACGGTCTCAATACGATTATTCACGAACACAATTATTACAACGTAAAATGTATTTCACTAGCTTCGCCATAATATTATTTCTCACAGAATAATAGAGGTATCTCCATTAAGGACAACTTTCACCTAAGTATGAATCAATTTTAATCGAAACAAATGATAAGGACAAGTATCATCTTATCACTTAGTCTTTTTAGTTTTTATCTTCTATATCTATATACTGCCCACAATAATATCGGGAGAGATGACGTCGTCCCGGGATGGCCGTCCATAGTCGAATTTATTCTTGGTCGACCGGAACTACTGTTTGTAGGTGCGGGATAATGCCAGAATGCATGTTGGGCTATTTTTCCATCCAGGACTAATTTTTGCGGTCCTCCGTAGCTCGATGCAACTGGATAAAAACTGCACACAATCGAAGACGCAACAAACGATACATCGATATCGAAACAATATCGCATCGATTATATGTCCGCCCCGCAATGATTTTCAGATCATAATTTAAACATTTTTACTATTATTGAAACTTGACAGGTAGATTATTTTAGAACATTAGAACCGTTCAATAATCATTTAAATTGTGGTACTTGGACGCTTAGTGCTTACCGCGGACCAAACGAAACACATCACCTCTTAAAGATTTAAAAGCAACGTTTTTAAACTAATCCGAATTCATATTTGTTGGTGTGTAACGGTGGCTTAGGCGTAGACGTATAGTATATATGTATAACTATATGTTCAAATATATACATTATATTATGTTTATCTGTAAATACCGGAACCGGTGGAACCGTGTATTTTGACCCAGTTAAATTTTACCCCCCGGTAAATATTCACTAGCGAAATTTTACCGGAGGTAAATTTTCAAGGCGGGGTTAAATATCCATAGTGAAAAATATTTACCACAAGTAAAAGTTTCGCTAGGGATATTTTACCCAGATAAAATTTCACTAACGAAATTTTACCTCCCGGTAAAAATTCACTAGATCAAATTCATAAATTTACACTATTAAAATGTTTTTATAATATGAATTAATCTTTTACGTTAACTTAACTAGGATTAAGGTCTATTTCCCCAGCTACACCCCTTCTCAAAACCAAAATCAAATAAAAAATACATTTTACCAATTTTTTTTTTAGCTTTCGTTTGAAATGTTTTATGAAAATACTCATTTCATCTATATACAACCGGTTAAGGTTTAAAAATCACTCCTTAAATACTCCTTGATATAATATTCAAAACAAAAAAAGTTCGTGGTAGGTAGGTAATAATTTATAATACAAAAAGAATCCCAATAGGAGTGTAGTGTTTTTTATTCATGTTAAGAGTGTATCCATAGAATAACAAGTAAAGTGCTAGTGGTCAATAAAGTACCATTTTACCTACTTGTGTCTGCTGTTTTTTTTACTATAAAAGGGCATTAAAAAGGGTAATGGTAATTTAGGGTGTCTAGTCTCATTAACAGTGTCTAAGCAAAAATATTTAACACAAACAATAATAAAAAGTCGCTCTGATGTACAGTAGGTTACAAGTGGGTCCCTGTAATGTGTAATGGATAGTGTTAAATTTGAATTCAATGATATAATATCATTGTATAAGAAAAACATGATATTATTGTGAATTAAGTAATTTATATATAACCTATTTACGTGGAACCTTGTTTTAAATTTTTAATCCTTAGCTATAAAAGTTGAACATTTTATACATTTTTAACTAAAAATAATTATTAAATTTTAAATTTAATATATTTTTTCAAAATTCAAACTTTAAATGCCTAAAAAAAAAAATTGTGCCTGCTAGCAACTGCTATTTTAACAATATAACAGGAGCCCTGCATTCAATATTCACGCTATTTTAAGCAACAAATACATTTTTATTGATATTTGTAGAAAAAAAAAATTTAAAAAATTGAAAACTGATAATGTCTGTAAACAGCTCAAAAAGAGTCAAAATATTTTTAAAAATTGTATGGTGTATAGAAAATGAAAATATAAACATTCGGTATAATTTTCATGTATTTACAGTTATTCATTTTTGAATAACAACAAAATAACAAATTTTATGAGATAGCTTATATAATAGCTTTATGAGAATTCGAGTGAATATCGAATATCGTAAAAATATGAAATTCAAAAGCTCATAAAAATTTAATTTGATTTTCTTGAAGACATGCAAGAAAATTTCATGTATCTTCATGTTTTTCTTTTGTTTTTCAAGGCGCTTTTGAAAACTACTGTGAAATTTTTACTTTTGACTCCCCAAAGTACAAACTAGATTCACTTTCCTATGAAAAAAGATACTGTTGAAGAAAATCTAAGCATTTTTACTGTCCTAAAAGGTGATGACAGACACAAAAATATAATAAAAAATTAAAATTAAAAAAAAACACACATCATTGTAAAATCAATACATTCGTCGTTTCACACAGAATCTAAAATTATATAAATGCGTGCTACTCAATATTTTTCCTTTATAAGGATTGTATATTTTACTAAGTTTTTGTTAATAAGCAACAATTCCAAAAATACGGTTAAAGAAAACAAAATATCTGTGCCCAGTCCAAACACATATCCATGTTAAAATATGTCTGAAAAAATAATACCCAATAGAAAAAAATGTTCCCAATTTAATAATAATAAATATACTAATAAGGTACATTAAAAAAAATGTATATATTCATACTTGATACATTTATTGAGTATTGATTATAAATACAATATAATATCTAATGAAAACCATCTAATGTACCATAGGTAGTTAAAAAAATCTATAAGCTCCTTTTAATACTATAAATTATATCATAATATATTTTAGAACAACTAATAAGTTTATTATTTTATATTAATAATATTTTTTTTCCACTAATCTATATATATATAAAAATGTAGAGTAAAAAAATTGTCATTACCTCATCATTTTTTTAAGATGTACCTATGTAATTGCCAGGAGAAGGTTTTTATGAAAGAAAATTTAAGGAAAATCGACCAGAAAAGTAGGAAATCTGGATGTAAAAAATATAACAGTGGAGCAAAAGTGTGTCATATATTGGTTGCTATTGGTTAATCGGGCATGTTTGTTGATTTGTATTATTATTTTTTATCTATATATAAATTTAATGTTTGTGTGTAGATTAGACCTCTGGAAGAAGACAGGCTAATTTAAAAATGGTTAAATTTGTTTTTTTTTATTCATTTATTCATCTGATATTAGTACAGTTAGGTTAGGTTAGGATTTTGTATTAATTGATTATATATGAAAATATAATAATGAATCCACCTTACAACAATGTATATAACAATAGTAATTATATTTGTTGTTGTTGCTTTTGACATTGTCGAGACCAAATAATAATTATCCCTTGTATGTCACTTGTTGCTAATATAGTCTCATCGTAGTTAAAAGTAACACCCAAAGTCACACAAGCATGCCCTTGCAATTTGTTGACGGTATAATTAGATTCCCTTTCTACATCTACAAAATAAATGCAAGAATCTTCACTGCTTGTAACTGTAAAATTAAAATATTAAATTATATTTATAATTACACATTTCTGATAATATAATAATAAAACTTAACACATACCAACACAAGCACCCTGTCTAAATGACATAATAGGACAGAACGTTGAACGTAGCAAGTGATTACTGCGAGCGTGATGAACCAAAAACTTCTTTTTTAAATACAACGAGCCACCATCATTTTCAGAAACCCTAAAATACAATAACAATATTATACTTTGGTAATTTGTTTTAAATTAAATTTTATATAACAAACTTGTAAAGACATAATATATTATTTGCACAATTTGCTAACAACATTGGATCCCTTGCTTCTCGGCTAATCCATGATCTCCAGCTCAAACAAGTAATTGCACCACGATTTGGAGATGTTATAATTCGATGACACTTAGTAAGAATACTATTATCACTGCTGTTTAATTTGAGAGATACAATTTCACTCTATATGTACACATAAACATTATTATTTTTAGTTACTTAATCAAATAGTTTTATGAATATTATTACCTTGTCATTTCCAACCCATATTATTTGTCCACTACTATTAACTGCAAGAGATAAAATTTGACCACCAATTTTGTGCTTTCCACCTTTTGGGTACATACCCGTTGATACATTTAATACGCACACAAATCCAGCCTTGTTGCCAGTCTACAATTATAAATTAAATTATACTACATGACACATAGCTAGTAATAAATATATAAATACCATACAATGAGAATATTATTGTTGATAGGATTAAATAAACAGACCAAAACAGATGAATAAAAAGGATCACTGACACATCTTAGACAACAATGTCGAATTGCATCCCAAAAGCAAATAGTTGCATCAGTAGAACAGCTAGCAATTAATTCATCCGAAGCAGACCAATCACAACCTAAAATATATTATTTTTATTACTTATTCATATTGAAAAAATTCTCAATTATTTCTTGGTCTATTATAATTTTGGGTTAAGATATCCCTTTTTTTATTTAATATTTTAGCAAAAGGGTGTATTTAAATTTATTAACCACTTTTCTTACATTCATTATTAATATTTCATCGCGTTTTGTTCCCTGTTTAAAACCTTTTTTATTTGCCATTAATCATACAAAGAAAACTTTTGGATTGCTCCTATAACTACTTTCAATCTATTTGTCTTATTTCTCCCTATAATAAATAGTACATAATAATAAAAACATAATATTATATGTAATACCTGTTACTGGGCCTGTATGACATCTTAGTATAGCTTTTACACATGGTGGTGATGTCAAAACATCACAAATACTAAGAGTTCCATCGTTTGAAGCACAACATAATTTTGATTTATCATTATTGGCAAACTTCAACATTGTTACTGCATCTGAATGCTAAATCATACAAGAAAATAACTAACATAAAACAATATATAAATAAAGAGATATATGTACCTGATCATAGATATGGTGAACATTATTGAATGCATAATTTTCTTCCATAGTACTATTTCCAACAATAGCTTTGGAAGCTTGAGCATGGGTGGTTGGAATAGGTGATGATAAAAAATCATACTTTCGAGGTGCTACATCAATTTCTAATTGTTTGTCTTTATTTAAACTCATCTGTTAAAAGTAAAAACTGTGTAATAATTTAAATAGTTCAATTAATTTAAAATGTATACTATATATCAGCATATCCCAAACTTATCCACCAACAGACTACTTAGAGATAGGAAACTTGATGCGGAACAAAAGTATACGTTTTAATTCTTTATTTTTTTTAACTATATGCATATTATTGGTATAGTGATTTATATTGTAATTTTTAAAAATAACAGTAAGTACTTTTATTACCAAATCCAGTTGGTTTTTAAAAATTATTATTTAAATATATCAAGACGAATTGCAAACCACCATAAAGGAAATGCTGCAATAGATTATTAGTTTCATATAAACTACTACAATATTGACTTATGGAATACGACTGAGAAGTTGTGCCAGTAAGTCCAACATTGAGACTATTTAAAGCTGCCAAAAATTGCTATCCATACTATTTTGTCACAGCCTACTGGTAAAACTTGTATTATCTACAGAGATTTGATGATGACCTAAATCCAGGATGAAGTTAATAAGTTTGCCACAAACACGAGATAATAAGAGCATAAGGCTAAATCAACTAACCAATCTAGCAGAAATTTAACTAATCGATAACTCACAAGACATAAGGAATATAAAACAGCAAATATCATAAGAGTATAAAATATTAGACTAAGACAGGTGCCTCTCTACTGGGAGTGATAACCCAAACATGTTTTGTGTATAATTCTTTATTTAATACTAATGTACCTACACCTTAGAAATGTAGTGTTAAAGATCATTGATTGTTATAAATAAAAAAACTTTTCGAGTGGTTTTAGAAAAAGAAAAATGTTTAACATTAATTTTTTTTGTGAACTCAATAAATCATATCTATATTTGAGTATTTACCATACTAGTACTTTGGCTACAGGCACTGTTGGACTGCATATCAAAATTTACATTATATCTGTTTTGTAAAATTGCTGACCTAATACGTAAATACTTTCTTCGCATACCTGGAATCATATCCTTAAAAAAAAAAATAAACAATTAATACATGCTTGCCTAAAGTTTATACTAAAATATATACTGTTAATATTAAAACTTACATCTTGTTTAGATTTTTCTCGGAGAAGTTGACTTCTTCTCCTAATGTAAAGCGTTCCTGAAAAAAAAAAATAGATACACCAAATTATAGAGATTTTAATTATTCTCTGCAATACACTACTTGATATAATGAATTAGAAATAAGGTTTTTATTTAAAATAGGTAATACAGTAAGTTCACAAAACTTTCAAATAAAATAAAATAATAATGAAATATTTTTAAAGACTATTAATAAGTAGTAGCACACTTAATAATGTATATTTCATAATTATACATAAATAAATATACAAAAATAAGATTTTCTTAAGATCCTTGAAATTCTTATAAATTGTACAGGTACCTATTCAAAATAAAATGTATTTATTGAGGACACCAAGAAACAGTTCCAATGTATACTTATATGATACAGAAAACAATATTTGCTGTATAGTAACATTTTTATTTTTAATATCATTAATATAATGAAAAACATAAAATCAACAAATTTTAAAAGAGTAACAACTCTCATTATATAAATGATACAAACAAACAAAATAAGAACACTACAATACAGTACATTTTATCTTCTTTACCCTATGTACAATTGGTTTTCTTAAGTATGACTTAAGCATAAGTGGTTCTTTTTCGTAAAAATCTGTTTATCCGTAATAATGTTATTACTTAAAATTTTGACAATAGGTCATTAGACTCTAATATAAAAACTGACAGCACAATATTGAAATTAGTGAACAGAAATTTGGTGTGTGTATGATGGAGACAACACATGCGAGTGCAGTGTCCTCATAAATGGGTTTGCTGTCTACATAAATTATATAATTATCTAAATTCAATTCTAGAACTTAGTTTATTATTGAATTATAGATGATATTGTTTTCAATGTATTTAATTACAATATTAAACTTACTAAAATTTGGGTGGTTTGAAGTTCTATAGGCATTAAATTTGGAATCCAAAACAAAGGCTTGTTGTTGCCACATTTTGCTGTCAAAAACTGAATACAAATCACTTATATAACAGTACCTAGTTGATCGCAATCACACTAAACCATACATGGTTAAATTATGTAACTAAGATTCAGATTAGGATGAATAATAAAATTATTGTAATGTTCTTCAGTATAGACACATTGTAGTGAAGCTCAGTTAAATTTCCATCAAACAGTAGAATAGTTAATTTATAAGTCTATGATAGAAATGCATAACAACGAATGTAGGTAACAAAAATCGTTCTATTATCCATTTATGTGGCACGAACTAATAGAAAATAGGAGCAGTAATAATATTTTAGTTCGTACTTCGGGTTTTTATCTATGCGACGTTCGTGTTGTTTGTATAGGTGTTTACATTTTTACAGTAACGATAAGACGATGTGATATCAGCAGCTGTAGTGTACCGTGTATGCATAGATAAGTATATAGCGAATATTAGTATTGGTTTTTTTTTATAAGTTGAATTCCAAGCATTGTTTCGACTATACCACAGACTATATGAAGTCTGTGACTATACTTAACTTACCCATATTTTGATTTATTTTGAACTGTTTAGGGTATTTTCCTTTTTTTTTAGCTTATTTTCTACAAATTTCAATAAAATTTTATTTGTTGGTTGCGAAAACTTGAAAATTTAATAGAAGGCTCCTAGCATATTGTTTCAATGGCAGATGAAACATATTAAAAATTATTCATCACAATTTTTAGATTCTGAGCGGAGCGATGAATGTATTGGTTTTACAATGATGTGTGTTTTTATATTTTTATATTTTTATATTTTTATATTTTTGTGTCTGTCATCACGTTTTGGGACAGTAAACGTGCTTCGATTTTCTTCAATAGTACCTTTTCTGATAGGAAAGTGAATCTAGTTGGTACTTTGGGGGGTCAAAAGTAAACATTTTCCAGTAGTTTTCAAAAGCGCCGGGAAAAACAACATAAAAATTAAGGAAAAACGGAAATTTTTACGCAAAATCGATTTTCCAAAAAATCGAATTTGGTTTTTGGTGTAACTTTAAAACAAATGACCGTAGATACATGAAATTTTCACTGGTTGTTTATATTTGCATTTTCTATACACGATAACATTTTCAAAATATTTTGATTTATTTTGAACTGTTTAGGGACATTTTCATTTTTCATTTTTTTTTAGTTTTTTTTCTAGAAATATCAATAAAATTTTATTTGTTGGTTGCGAAAGCTTGAAAATTTAATAGAAGGCTCCTAATACGTTGTTTCAAAGGCAGATGAAAAATATTAAAAATCCTTAGTCACAATTTTTTTTTATAAGCATTTAAAGTTCAAAAATTGACAAAATATGGAAAAATCACGAAAATTAGCAAATTATTTTGAGTTAAGAATTCGTAAAAATTTTTCTTTTTAAATCTAAGATTTGAAAATGAAACACAAGATTCCTTATAAGATTATCTACCTTTATCAATAAAAAAATCTCTACCGGACAGTCAAATTAAATTTTTATGAGCGTTTGAAATTCAAATTTTTACAACATTGGATTTTCACTCGATTTCTCATGTAGCGATTTCCTTATTTTGTTGTAATTCAAAAACGAATAACTGTAGATACATGAAAATTTCACTGAATGTTTATATTAGCATTTCCTATACACCATACAATTTTGAAAATATTTTGACTCTTTTTGAGCTGTTTATGGACATTTACAGCTTTCAATTTTTTTAGTTTTTTTTTCTATAATATCAATAAAGTTTTATCTGTTGGGCCAAAAAGTGTAAAATTTAATACAAGGCTCTTGATATATTGTTACAATATCAGTTGAAAAATTTTAAAAATACATAGTCACGATTTTTTTTTATAAGCATTTAAAGTTGGAATTTTGACAAAATTTATCAAAATCTCGAAAATTATCAATCGTTGAAATTAAAAAATTATAAAATGTTCAGTTTTTATAACTAAGAGTTGAAAATTTAAAACAAAGATTCTCTTAAATAATTCATACTGTAACCAAAAAATCTAAAAAATATATAAACACACTTATTTTTTACAGACATTTTAATTTCAAATTTAGACAAAATTTCATATTTAAACCAAGAATTACGATTTTAGTTATTTTGTTGTGATTGTATAATATTATTCGTGGGTACTTGAAATTTCTAAAGTAATCTACTATATATATCTATGATAGTATCAGGGTTTTTTGTTGGTGTATAACGCGTTATAAGTACCTAATGGATATTGTGATATGATTAATTTGGAATTCATTATAGGTCAATTTTTTTTAATACCATAGATATGTATATAATATGTCTTATACCTAGAAGGACATAGGTACCGTCTCCGCTCAGAATCGTTTTTCTTATACAATGATATTATATCATTGAATTCAAATTTAATACCATCCCTTATACAATGACCCACTTGTAACCTACTGTACAGCAGAGCGACACCCACTTGCCCACCTTTTTTTATAAGCATTTAAAGTTCAAAAATTTACAAAATATGGAAAAATCACTAAAATTAGCAAATTATTTTGAGTTAAGAATTCGTAAAAGTTTTTCTCTTTAAATCTAAGATTTGAAAATGTAATACAAGATTACTCATAAGTTTGGCTACCTTTATCAAAAAACAAATGTCTATAAGAAAGTCGAAATAAATTTTTATGAGTGTTTGAAATGCAAATTTTTACAACATTGGATATTCACTCGATTTCTCGTGTAACGATTTCCTTATTTTGTTGTAATTCAAAAACGAATAACTGTAAATACACGAAAATTTCACCGAATATTTATATTAGCATTTCCTATACACAATACAATTTTTAAAATATTTTGACTCTTTTTGAGCTGTTTACGGACATTTACAGCTTTCAATTTTTTTTAGTTTTTTTTTTCTATAAATATCAATAAAGTTTTATCTGTTGGGCCAAAAAGTGTAAAAATGTAATAGGTACAAGGCTCCTGATATATTGTTACAGTATCAGTTGAAAAATATTAAAAATACATAGGCACAATTTTTTTTTTTAAGCATTTAAAGATCGAATTTTGACAAAATTTATCAAAATTCATCGAAAATTATCAATAATTGTAATTAATAAATTATAAAATGTTCAGTTTTTATAGCTCAGGATTACAATTTTATAACAAAGGTTCTCATAAATAGTTTATACTGTAACCAAAAAATCTAAGAAATATATGAACACAGTTATTTTTTACAGACATTTTAAATTCAAATTTGGACGAAATTACATAATAAAAAACCTAGAATAACTATTTTAGTTATTTTATTGTGATTGTATAATATTATTCGTGGGTACCTACTTGAAATTTCTAAAGTACACTATTATATAGGTATCTATGATAGTATCAGGGTTTGTTGTTGATGTACAACGCGTTATAAGTATCTACCTAATGGATATTGTGGTATGGTTAATTTGGAATTTATTATAGGTACCTACCTTTAATATTTTGAGCTGTTTACGGATATATATTCAGTTTCCAACTTTTTTAGGTTATTTTGCTATGAATGACGAATGTCAATAAATCTTTATTAGTTGGATAAAAAAAGCTTGAAAATGTAATACAAAGCTCCTACTATATGTCTATATTGTTACAATGACATTTACAAAATATTAAAAATCCTTAGTCACAGTGTCTTTTTATAAGCATTCAAAGTTCAAATCTTGACAAAATACGGAAAAATCACGAAAATTAGCAAATTATTTTAAGTTAGAAATTCATACAAATTTTTCTTTTTAAATCTAAAATTTTGAAATGTAATATAAGATTCTTTAAAACTTATAAGTGTATCTACCTTTAGAAAAAAAAATATTTCTGTAAGAAAGTCAAATTAAATTTTTATGCGTTTTTGAAGTTCATATTTTTACAACATTGGATATTTACCTTTATAATTTTTTTATAAGCATTTAAAGTTCAATGTTTGACAACATTAAATACCAGAAAGGTAGGACTACCCAAAAGGTATGTCCTTCTAGGTGTGTACTTATCTATCGTACCTATTAAAAAAAAATTATCAAAAATAGGTAGGTAAAATAGGTTTTTATAAATTAAAAATTAACCATACCACAATATCCATTATAGGTACTTATAACGCATTATACATCAACAACAAACCCTGATACTATCATAGATATATATAATAGTGTACTTTAGAAATTTCAAGTACCCACGAATAATATTATACAATATTACAATCACAACAAAGTAACTAAAATAGTAATCCTAGGTTTTTATTATGTAATTTCGTCCAAATTTGAACTTAAAATGACTATAAAAATAAAATTTGCTTATGTATTTTTTAGATTTTTTGTGTAACAGAATTAACTACTTACATGGAATCTTGTTTTAAATTTTCAATCCTTAGATATAAAATTTGAAGATTTTATAAATTTCTAACTAAAAAATGATTGTTCAATTTTAAATTTGATAAATTTTGTCAAAATTCGATCTTTAAATGCTTATAAAAAAAAAATGTGCCTATGTATTTTTAATATTTTTCAACTGATACTGTAACAATATATCAGGAGCCTTGTACCTATTACATTTTTACACTTTTTGGCCCAACAGATAAAACTTTATTGATATTTATAGAAAAAAAAACTAAAAAAATTGAAAACTGTATAATTGTCCGTAAACAGCTCAAAAAGAGTCAAAATATTTTAAAAATTGTATGGTGTACAGGAAATACTAATATAAATATTCAGTGAAATTTTCATGTATCTACAGTTATTCGTTTTTGAATTACAACAAAATAAAGAAATCGCTACATGAGAAATCGAGTGAATATCCAATGTTGTAAAAATTTGAATTTCAAGCGCTCATAAAAATTTAATTTGACTTTCCGGTAGAAATTTTTTTATTGATAAAGGTGGGCAAACTTATGAGTAATCTTGTATTACATTTTAAAACCTTAGATTTAAAAAAAAAAATTTTTACGAATTTTTATCTCAAAATAATTTTCTAATTTTTGTGATTTTTCCATATCAATTTTTGAGCTTTAAATGCTTATAAAAAAAAAATTGTGACTAAGGATTTTTAATATTTTTCATCTGCCTTTGAAACAATATACCAGGAGCCTTCTATTAAATTTTCAAGCTTTCGAAACCAACAAATAAAATTTTATTGATATTTTTAGAATAAAAATTTAAAAAAATTGGAAAATGAAAATGTCCCTAAACAGTTCAAAACAAATCATAATATTGTGAAACCTATTGGGAATTTTCCCTCCCTAATGCACCAACTAGATTCACTTTCCAATCTAATAAGATACTGAAGTTAAAAATCGAAGCATTATTTCGACTACTTATCGGGTACACAGACACAATAATATAAAAAAAAAAACACACATCATTGTAAAATCAATACATTCATCGTTCCACTCAGAATCTAAAATGTTTAACTTTTATACCTAAATATTGAAAACTTACTACGAGGTTCCACGTAAGTAGGTTATTCTGTAACCAAAACATCTCAATAATATAGTTATATTATGTTCAAATTTCGAGGAAATTACATATTAAATAATCAAGAATAACAATTTTATAGTTAGTTTGTTGTAATTTTATAATATATATATTCAACTTACCGGCTATACCGTATATTAATAATAAGTAACAACAACATAAAATATATAAAATAAAATAACCATACTGAGTACTGGCAAACCATCAACGCTCAGAATCGTTTTTCGTATATACAATAATATTATATCATTATGAAATATTCAATTAAAATTTAATACCATCCATTATACAGTGACCCGTTTGTAGCCTACTGTACAGCATACCTAGTGACATTTACTTACCACCTTATTTTTTTTTTGAAACCGACGTAGGTATTTCAACATTCAACAAGTTAAGAATGATGGAGCAAAAAAAACAGTAAAATACTGCATTTTACTGAATTTTACTGCCGCGCTCAACGCCTATAACGGATGTTGATTTTTTAAACGTTAGTATAGGTAGTTAAGCATGCTGAAAACGACTGTGAACTGTGAAGTCAGGATTTGGTAGTCGGACTTAGTTTTAATAATTTATAGGGTTATAGGCTTATAGCTATAATTGAAATGTAGAGTATTTTTTATACAGCTAGCTAACTGCGCTAGTTCGGACAATTAAAAACATCCATAAATCCAACCTAACCTTAGGTAAGTTAAACCTTCGCTATAAGCTATAACTTCAAAACTAATTTCGTGCGCCAAATTCTGATTTCACCAACATTTTTTCACCCACAAAATTAAGTCCCCCCCAAATAAAGCCCAAACCAGGGGAGTTCCCACTGTCCCGAAAAGTAGGAATGTTCCTACTTATGTTTGGTAAAAATATTTCAAAAAATGCTGGGTAGGTAAAGTGCATTTATGCCCGATATATATTATGTATACCTGTATATAATTCGACAATATTATAATAGTGAGAATCGCAAATATAGTTGTACCTTATACATTTTAAAAATAACTTTTTTTTTGTGGGGCCGCAGGAATATGTTTCCCGGGTCACAAAATATTCAAATTCGTCCCTGTTGCGCCTATAGTTTAGTCATTTTAAGTTTTTGTGGTATTTATTATGTGAATTAGGTACGCCATATAGCACTCTTAGCAGTTAGCATATATCTTTCGAGACCATATAATATTGTGGACTCCGTATGCGACTCATAGATAATGTAATAAAATATTATCTATGATGTGACTGCTGAACGCAGACTTCTAAACTGTAGTTCATAGACATTAGACCTTAATCAAATAATGTAAATGATTTACAGTATTTGCCTTAATATACTCAGTATAAGGTCTATGCAGGCTGTAGTTGTACTATACGTCTATACTACGACTATAGTACTACGGTCTATCACAATTATAAAGATTATAAAGTTATTTAGTTCTTTACTTCTTTATAATCGTGACTACTATAATATTATTATAGAAATCTGTGCTGATTATCAATGAAGTTCTCGTATTATCATTTGCAATACATGATAACAGAATATATGTTTATATGTTTATATTTTATGCTGTATCATTGGAATTTTGACTTGTGGAGCGGGAAGGGGGTCGCCGACAAGCGTCATCGCCGTCAAACACACGCGCATTACTCACTATTTAACAACAACTTGTCGTTTTTTTGTTATATTTCAACGTGCCGATTTCCGGCTCGTGATTGATATTTTGATTCCTTTGAGGTTTTGGATCAACACAGTCGCCAACTTCTGTGGTCGTCGTATTTCAAACTCACCGTCTTACAACGTTCGAAGTGAGTACTACATCATGGCATCTAATGGGTTGTTGTGCTAGGTACGACAAGTACGCCATACACGGTTCGTCAAGAACATTCTATATCTCTGTGGGTGACTAAAATAGTCGCGTTAGGAGATCTATAATTTTCTCTAGACTAAAACTGCGAAACGCATACCATGTATTCCGTCAACACAAATATATTATTTAACTTTTGGGGCCGTGCTAACCGTGAGTGATGTAATTCGTCACTCCCACCCGCCTGCATGATTGTTGTGGTTCGATGTGATTTGTCCTATGGTACTATCCACTAACACTGACCTTTGTGTTCCGTGTTCAGAATTTTCTTGTTATTCATCAAATTAAATAATAATATAGTTTGAGTAAAACTTTATCACTGGTCATTATAAATTAATAACAAAGCCACACAGACACACAGTGAAATACCTAGTTGAATATTTTCGACTATTTGGTACATTATGGTAACTTGTTAATCACATGGTTGACACGGAAAATGATAGCGGTATAATAATACCTTTATATTCAACAATTACTGGAATTATCTGTTTATAATACCATCAATCTTATGTTGTATCAGGTTTCCAGCATCGAACTAAGTAGCAAAAATGGAAAGTAAAATACTCGACCAAGAAACCACTAGTGAACACAATCTGTCCAATGAACAAATCACTAATATAAAATCAAAACGCAAATACGATATAATCGTTTTTGGCGCTTCGGGATTCACTGGACAATTTGTCGTTATGGAAATGGGTCACTTCTCTCAAACATACAATTTAACTTGGGCTATTGCTGGACGTAACACTGATAAATTACAAATCGTATTAGATAAAATGTATAAAACTCTTGGTAAGTTTCCTTATTTTACTATAACAATTATTGCAAAATAATTATTCAATTTAGGATCTACAAATAAACAGCTTTCATTTTTTAAGGAACGTTAAAAACCATTGTGTATATGTTTGAATCCTTAACTTTTACAACAACAATGGTGTTTTTCGTTTCTATAAATGATGTTAAGCACTGTCTTCAGTAATAAAGTTGTTTTAAATTTGTAATATCTAAGAGGTTAAAATTTAATTATATTTCCTATTTTTTAGTTTGTATAAAATTATTTATTGTTTGAAGAAACATTAATGATGAACATTATGATCTAGAAATAACCATAGGTATTATTACTTGTGTTTAGCAATTTTTAATGTATGTATCAAATATTATATAGATGGGTATGAAGATAAAAAAATTGATATTATTTACGCCGATGTACAAGATATTAAAACTGTAATGAGAATGGCTCAAACAACTTCTGTGGTTATAAATTGTACTGGACCATACTATATATATGGAGAAGTTGTAGTCAAATCTTGTGTTTTGACATCTACTCATTATGTAGATGTAACTGGTGAATCATTAGTAAGTGATATAGGTTGTTCAAATTTACATTTATTATTTTTTTTTTATATTGGGATCCTAAAGAATCTACAAACATTTTAAATGTATTTTTAAAGCATGTTAAATATTTATAGAATTAGGTATATTGTGTTTTTATAATATTATTGTAATTGAAAATTAACAAATATAAGAATTAAATTTCTCAGAATACATTATTATTTTGATATTTGTTAATTATTTGTATTCAGCTATATAACACATTTGTAATTATAGTTTATGGAGAAAATGGCATATATGTATAATAGACAAGCTGAAGAAAACAATTCAATAATTGTTAGTGCACTTGGTATGGAGAGTGCACCTGCTGACCTTGGTGTAGAATTCTTATATAAACATTTTAATGGTATATTTGCAGTTTATAGACAAAATTATATAGTTGCTTGAATTATTTATGTTTTATTTTTAGGTGAATTGGAAAATGTTGACATGTACATGCAACTTTATAGCAGTTCATTTGTATTAACTAACGTGAGTAATACATTTTTGTTTATATTATTAAAAGTAGAAGAAATTGTTATTTTATGATACAATGTCGATATCATAATTTATATATTAATAATACATTATTTATTAACCAACATTGATATGTTTTGTTATACCTAATGATTGATAAATAATAATATTGTTTTTCCTTGTTTTAATGTTGATCTCGTTACATAAAATCTGATTTTTAGTTTTATTACCTCAATTAATTAAAACATCTACTAAGATTTCATACCTACATTTTTATTTTTTGAAATTCAAAATATTGGTTACTAGTATTTAATAATTTTATTATAATATTATATTAACATTTTTACAAGAAAAAGGATAATATATTATATTGGCATTTTTTATTCCAAACTCTAATAAGCTGCTATTGTATTTTAGAGTGCACTTATACATGACGGTACTTGGATAAGTGCTATATTACATTTGGCTACTAAAAAACAACGCTTATACTACCGAAATCTGTTAGATGAGTTAATGGGATTAACAAGAATAAAACCAAATGTTTCCAAGTATGTATTTTTTTACAACATAGGTGTTTTAATAGTTTATCATTAAATTATAAAAATATTTTTTTTGCTTCGTTCCAGTTGATCCAAACTCAACATAGTTTTCATACATCAAAAAATAAACAAATAAAAATTATTATTATAATATTAAAATAATATTTTTTGTATTACATTGTATTTACAAATAACTTTGAGTTACTCCTCATGTATTGTGTTAGTGTTACTAACACACTAACACAGCAATTTTTTATTCATAATAAAGTAACAACTTCAAGAATCTTAAAAAATTTTAACTCAAATTAAACTTGAAATACAAATAAAAAATTAGCGGGGCCCTAGATTATATTCTTACCATTTAATTTGATAATAGATCAATTCACTAATCCACTTTTACATTAAAAGTTATGGTTAAATAGATTTGTATACCATCACACAAATTTTAAGTCCTTAAAGAAACCATTCGTCATTGTGGTTAATATAAAATATTCTTAAGTAATAGTCATTCAAAATGTACCAAAATAGCCTTGTCTCAGTTGTAAAAATATTTTGTTATCTTTACATAAAAATGATTATTGAAAAATTAATTTAAACTTATTGAATTTTAAAACTAATAGATTTTAAATTTTAGGATATTGCATAGACAACAAATCAGCATGCAACGTGACACGAAAGAATGGTGTTTAGCTTTTCCAGAACCAGATCAAGCTGTTGTTGCCAGATCAATACATCATGCCAAAACTATAGACAATTTACCTTATAATTTTACTGTTCGAAACTATATGGTTTTTGGTAGTTTAATATCAGCAGTTCTTGGTTTATTCGTATTTGTATTACTGTCGATCATGGCCACATTTGAACCTTTTAGAATTCTCCTTGTTCGGGTAAGATAATCCAATCATTATTAGCAGAGCTGTCTAAAGGTTAGTGAGCCCAGTATATTTTTGAGGGTCTATAAATACTTAAATTATTATGTCTTTATTTCTTAACACATAATTATATAATAGTATACTATTAGCTGTTGTTAAAAAAAATGTACCTATTATTAATTTATAATATATTTTTTAAAAAAATGGATGCTCTTACAATTTCTCTATGACCTTGAGGCTCTGATTCTAAATAGTAGTATTTTTTAAAACTAATGATTGTAATTTATAATGAATTGTAGTTTCCAAAATTGTTTTCATTTGGGATTGCAACAAGAACTGGTCCAAATGAAAAAATATTGGAAAATTCACGTATGACGTTAACTTTAATTGGTCACGGGACAACAAGTGTCAAGCCTCCTTCTGCTATTCTTAAGAAAATAACAAATAAAGATAATACTACCACAAGAAAAACTATTGTTAAGGTAAATTTTTTAACTTTTTAAAATTATGGAATATATTATGTATCAATGTTAATTATACCTGTCTTTGACATTGTTTTGTATTTATAGGTCAAAGCTAAAAACCCAGGTTATGGATTCACTAGTAAAGCTGTTATCTTGGGAGCAATAACTATAATAAAAGATCAAATTAATATTCCTAAAGGGTATAACATTTTATTTAAAAATAATATAGCTTAAAATATTATTAAAATATTATGTTGTATAGAGGTGTTTTAACACCAGCTGCTGCATTCCGTAATACTCAATTTGTGAATCGTTTAATGGACCATGATGCTGCTGTTTTTGAAATTGAGTCTGACTTGGTTACTTACAGACAACAATCAAAATCAATTTAAATCTATTGTCAACTACTTAGCTGTTCTTAGTTTTTCATAATATTTAAAATGTATTCTATTATAGTTCTCTTTATGGTGTTATAATGTAATTTTTTCTTTTTTATCTTCTCTTTTAAGTTTTAAGTAACTATGAATACAATTTGGTTCTAGTTCCTTTATGATCATAATCACTGTGTATTTTATGTCATGTACTAGCTCCTTAAAAGATAATATACAGATAGTAGTGGATTTATTAAGAACTGTATAAGTATCATTATTGATTATTGTCTTGTTTTAAAACTATATATTATACAAACTGCTTCACTAATTGGTTAAAATATGTATAAATGTATAATAGAATAACCTAATTATGAAAATTATGTGTTAAAATTTCATAGCCTTAATAACTAATATATTTTATGAATAAAACAAAATTACTACATTACCATTAAAAATTTAATCATTCAATTATTACAATTACTTGCTAAGTACTGATCTATCGTTGAGTCGCTTATATTATAATTATTGTATACTTTAATTTATGGATATCTAATATATATATATATATAAATATTTTCGATTAGATTAAAATGTAATTTATACCAAAATTGTTTTCTGTCCGTATAACTGGTCCCAAATTCAGGCATATTATGTCAACTTTGATTGGTCACAAAAAAACATGATTTGATGATTGTGTGGTTTTGATTTTGAGTAAGACTTAGTTACCTTCTTAAAGATTACAATAAAAATTATCAGGTTTTTAATATTTGAAAACTTTATGCAAGTCATACGGTTTGATTGGTTAAGGAACAACATCAGTCAAGCTTTCTACTGCAAATATTAAAGAAATACACACAAACATGCTACTGCAACAAAATAAGCTACCTATTATTAAGGAAATTTTTATTAACACAAGGAATGCTGTTATCTTGAGATCAATAACTATAATAAAAGTTGGCATTCATATATTATACCAAAAATGTATAAAATTTTATTTTAAAATAATAAATTTCAAAATATTATGTTGTACAAGGATGTTTTAATGCTGGTTGCAGTAATCCTCATTTTTTTACATGTTGAATGGACGATGATGCTGCGGTTTTTCTATTTGAGTATGACTTGGTTACTTACAGGCAACAATCAAACTTAATTCAAATCTTTTGTCATCTTTTTAGCTGTTTTTAGACTTTTAGAACTTTTTTTTTTTTATTTGTAATATTCAAAAATGTTTTCATTACAGTTGTTTTTAAGAGGATGCCAACATGGCTTTGTGATGTCTCAATATTTAAAAATATTGCATAACAAAATTATTTCAGCAAAACCATTTTTGAGTTGTAAGCATTTATTTTAGAGTATTTTTTTTTCTATTATTAAACAATAAACATACATTAAACTATTTAAGAATATTGTCTTGAGCAACTGCCATCTAGTAAGCTTGTATTGGCATTTAAATTGTAGAGTAAATTTAACCATTTTCAATTTCAATGATTTATCTTGCACTTGCCGGTGTGACATCCTTTTATAATTATTAATTTCATGACTTTCATAAATCATTCTTTATTCTTTTTTAACAAATTAAAAAAAAAAATATGTACTTATTTGTGTTATATAATTAGAAAAATTTAGAAATTTATTTATATAAAATAATAGATTTATTGTCAAACAAAAAGTATTCAATTTAATTTGTAGATCTTACATCTTAATTTAGAATCTGAATTTAAATAAAATCGGAATCCAATCTTATCTGTATTAAGTCTTCATCCTTCAAAAGGTGCTCTGCTGTACAGTAGGTTACAAGTGGGTCACTGTATAATGGATAGTATTAAATTTGAATTCAATGATATCATGTCATTGTATAAGAAAAACGATTCTGAGCGGGGACGGTATGTCAGTCTAGATATAACACATTATAAACATGTCTACGGTATTCAAAAAAATTGACCTACAATTATAGGTACCTATAATAAATTCCAAATTAATCATATCACAATATCTATTAGGTACTTATACGTCAACAACAAACCCTTGTACTATCATAGTCCATACTCCATAGATATAATATAATGGTGTAGGTACTTTAGAAGTTTCAAGTAGGTACCTACGAATAATATTACACAATCACAACAAAATAACTTCTTCTTCTTCGGTTAAAGGCCTTTCAAGACCATCCCATCTCACACCCGTTCCTCCATCCAACAACAAAATTAATCATTTTAATCAGATTACCGTCTGTCATAAATTTAAATACCAATATTCAGTTTTCCGCTTTCCAGTCTGATTAAAAAGCACATTTTGTGGTATGACATAGACTACATGTATTGGTACTGGCAAATTTCTCGCAAGAAAATCGCATAATATGGTATATGAGAACTAGTCTTGTAAAGTATTTAAATACTTTTTAAAAGTATTCTTAACAAAATTTAAATACTTGTATTAAAATAAGTCCGCTTTATTAATTTTATATGGTTTCTGTATTGGAATTTTTAAAAAAACTGAAAATCTAATAATTTTAAAATAGTTCCATATTAATTACTTTTTAAAAACCACTTTTTATTTCTTTATTTCATTAAAATTTAATCAATATTAATTGTAATATATCATGAATTCGGAATGAAATATGTGAACATGTATTTACCTCTAAATAGTCAGACATGTTATAGTGAATACAAATTGTCAAATCTATGGTGAGAAGTACCTAACCTATAGGTATACACGTACCGACGTGGCGACGTAGGTAAGCTATGTAGGTAGTGATGTACAATATACATATATATTAATATATTATATTGTATAAAATTAAAAAAAAGTATATTTTTATTCAAATACTTTGTAAGTATTCGTAAAATACAATATTATAATAGTATTTTAAAAGTATTTTTAATACTGTCTTATTATTCGAATACTAGTATTAGTATCTTAATACATTTTAAATTCTGAGTGAAACGATGAATGTATTGATTTTCCAATGATGTGTTTTTTTTTTATTTTTGTGTCTGTCATCACGTTTTAGGACAGTAAAAGTGCTTGGATTTTCTTCAACAGTATCTTTTCTGATAGGAAATTGAATCTAGTTGGTACATTGGGGGGGGGGGGGGTCAGAATTAAAAACTTCCCAGTAATTTTCACAAGAGCCGGGAAAAACAGCATAAAAATTAAGGAAAAACGGGAATTTTTACGCAAAATTGGTTTTCCAAAAAATCAATTTAGGTTTTTGTGTAACTTTAAAACAAATGAACGTATATACATGAAATTTTCAGTGGTTGTTTATATTTGCATTTTCTATACACGATAACATTTTCAAAATATTTTGATTTATTTTAAACTGTTTAGGCACATTTTCATTTAAAATTTTTTTATAGTTTTTTTTTAAAAAATATCAATAAAATTGTATTTGTTGGTTGCGAAAGCTTGAAAATTTAATAGAAGGCTCCTTCTATATTGTATTATTGTTTCAAAGACAGATGAAAAATATTAAAAATCCTTAGTCACAATTATTTTTTATAAGCATTTAAAGTTCAAAAATTAACAAAATTAGGAAAAATCACGAAAATTATTTTAAGTTAAGAATTCGTAAAAATTTTTATTTTTAAATCCAAGATTTGAAAATATAATACAAGATTCCTTATAAGATTATCTACCTTTATCAAAAAAATAAAAAAAATGTCTATAAGAAAGTCAAATTAAATTTTTATCAGAATTGAAACTCAAATTTTTACAACATTGGATATTCACTCGATGTAGCGATTTCCTTTTTTTGTTGTAATTCAAAAACGAATAACTGTAGACACATGAAAATTTCACTGAATATTTATATTAGCATTTCCTGTACGGCTATACACCATACAGTTTTTAAAATTGTTTGACTCTTTTTGAGCTGTTTACGGACATTTACATCTTTCAATTTGTTTAGTATTTTATTCTATAAATATCAATAAAGTTTTATCTGTTGGGCCAAAAAGTGTAAAAATGTAATACAAGGCTCCTGATATATTGTTACAATAGCAGTTAAAAAATATTAAAAATATATATTCACAGTTTTTTTATAAGCATTTAAAGATCGAATTTTAACAAAATTTATCAAATTTAAAATTGAATAATTATTTTGTAGTTAAAAATGTATAAAATGTTCAACTTCTATATCTAAGGATTGAAAATTTAAAACAAGATTCTACGTAAGTAGTTAATTCTGTTACCAAAAAGTCTAAAAAATACAGAAGCACAGTTTATTTTTATAGTCATTTTAAGTTCAAATTTGAACGAAATTACATAAAAAAACCTAGAATAACTATTTTAGTTATTTTATTGTGATTGTATAATATTATTCGTGGGTACTTGAAACTTCTAAAGTACACTATTATATATCTATGGAGTTTGGTTTATGATAGTATCAGGGTTTGTAGTTGATGTATAACGCATTATTATAAGTACCTAGTGGCTAGTACCTAAGTGATGCTACATATTCAATTTCAAAGGAGATTTCTGGTTAGACAACTTACTATAAATTAAAATAATATTTATATAGAAGTTTTTAATTTGGTGATAAATTCAAGCCCTGATTAAGACCTTTAGGGGTCCATGTGCCAATACTGAATACATGGTTGTGGCCCCAACCAATGAAAAAATGGCCACGTGTCCTACTTACCATGCCCATGGTACTGGTGGTGAACATGGTAGGCGGGTGATGGGCCCCAATGCCTGTTAGTTTAAACAAGATAAAAATATATTCTTGGAGCCTGTAGGCACTATAAAATGTACAAATACCATTCAATGTAGTTTTAAGCCGAGAAGACTCAAGGACCGGTAGAAGACATAAGCGCCAAAATGAGGTAAGAAAAAAGAAGTTATATAGTACAAAAGCGCCAAAATCCTAAATACCTGTGTGCCACGGACCACGGTTAATAAATATTAAATAACAGAAACAGATATTGAACTTAGAACTATATATTACCTATATTTTAACAATTTATTATTGAACATTTTTATAAGATCGAACAAATCAACTGATTTATTAAAATTATAAT